CAGCACTCTTTGTATCGCGCCATAGTAGCGTCATAAATTGTTGTGAAATCTTAAACAAATTGTGCTGAAAGGTGACACAAACACTCTGTGTCGGTAAATCTTGAAGCCACTTGACGCTCCGACGGGTTTTATGAATTACTGGCGATATCGATTGACAACTTCACAAGCACCGTTCTTTTAGAGGTTCTAAATCCCTGCACACCCATTAGTTTCCTTGCTGCTCTCCTAATTCCTTATCTGTTTTGTTTCTATCCGATCTTCACTGTTCCGTATTGATCAGTTTTATTTCTCCACTCTTCCTTCTCTTTTCATATGATCGATTTCTATATATTCCTTTGTTTCTCTTTTCGTATTCTCTGCGTAATTCTTTCTCTCTTACTTTTTTTCTGTTTTTTCTTATTTTACTTTCGCTCATTCTCCCCATCAGGTAGCTTCACTGGCTTTCTATATGGCGATAATCAGACTTGCGAGTCCAGAATTCGCAGGCGAAATCGTCCGATTACCGAATGTCTACCACCAGCGAATCAACGGTGACCGCGGGATCGAAGCATGTACAGCGAGATCGACACTGTTGAAAGTGTGGCTGACCAACGGTCTTAACCTGCGAGTCAGATGGTAGTCGGTGGTATTCGTTCGATCCGCTGGCTTACAGTTCGATCCGCTGGTGCACAGCTCGATTCGCTGGTGCAAAGCTCGTACCAGCTAGCTAGCGACTCGCTGGATTCGCAAAATCCGACATCGGCCTATACTCTTTTCCTTCTTTGCCCTCCTAGAAGTGCATGACATCTTTAGTAATAGAACTAGAGGATTACTTAGTTGAGCACGCATTTCATATGAACTATTGGAAGAATTGGGACCTGGTATAGTTCGCGTTTCGTTGTAACTGTTCCGTTTATTATTTCGTTTCGTTCTGAGTTTTGCTTTTCTTTAAGCAGCTTTTTCACATTTTTTCACACTTCACTTTCGCTAGTTAGTATAGGATATATGGTTGGGGCAGAAATCATTTTTTGAAGCATAGTGATCACTTACAAGGTGCATTGTATACTGACGAGAAAGGATGCGGGTGGTGGAGTTCTGTACATTCTGAGACGGAACTTTCCTCCAATTTATATGCTTCCTCTTGCCAAAATCTTCGATCACAATAGACATGGGTGCACGACCAGGTGTCAGTAACCATGAGATGGTATCTTTCTTTATCAACAACAATATATGGTGTTTAAAGCATTCCATTTCGTTGATAAACGTGCACATTGGGCTGCGCCACTAATTCGAGTGTCCACAGACCAACCTAAAGGACAAATGACACATTGGTACGCTTTGTTCATGTTTGTTTTGTGGTGTGTTGCCTTGCGATTTGGGCGCAAGACTTTCAAGGGTATCCTGATTGAGATAGCCTCAAATTATTGTGTCCCAGCATCCAACGTGGCAAAGATAAGGTGTCCCACGAAGCTTCCATATAAGGGAGACGTTTTTGAGCACAGGTCACAAAGCCTTTTCCGTGGCGCTTTCGCAAGATGGAGCCCTCCCCTAGAACTAAGCCTTGGCCCCTGAAGTGCCTCCCACATCAAGGCTCAATACAAATTGAGCGTAACAAAAAAATTTGGTTGGGTTTCGTTGTGTTGCCGCTGTAAGGCTGGTTAGTACCCCATTTGAACATTTGAAACACTGAATATGGAACAAATAGAATTACGAATTGGCAGCGGGATTTTAGGGCACTGCGCAGTAGTGATCGGGGCACTTGTGATTTCTGTGATCCGTCGCGCGACGTAGCGTTCATTTCGAACTAATTCTGACATTTCCTTGGGGATATGGTTTGAAGGACAAAGGGAGTGAATTTGAAGCATTTCGATAAAATAAAGTGAGTGTTACTGGAATGTTTGGGACCTGTCTTTCATGGATTTGCTCTGTAATGTTACATCTTAACACTTTGGAGCCCATGCAGCCCATATGTGGGCTGCAGTCAGTCAAGTGTGTGGTACCTTACGACTCATATTTTGGAAACAAGCACTCAGTTTTTCTTTTGTTTCTTCCCATTTCATTCAATAAGATTTCGTCTAGATCAACCAATAGGTTTTTGTTCCCAATTTGCTCAATAAGATTCTTTAAAAATCCACTGAAGTCCCGAGCAGCCGAAAAACGTAAAACATGCGCGGTCTCCAACGTGTTAATTTCATTTACTGGAAATGATATCATCTTGCAGACTATAGATAACTTATCATTTTTGATCGTTCTTTGAGTTTGTTTTCTTTTTCGAGCTTGAGAGGCATGGTGTGGGAAGGTTCATTCTGATACTGATCGGTGGTAGCAGTTCCACAGTTTATATCTGCTATATCTTCTTGGCAGGTTGTTCGAGTTAGCTGCTTGCAGTCTTCGATGTACTTTATATTCGTTATTGTGCACTCCTTCAGCGTTGTTTGACTTATTTTTCTTAAAATACAGTTGTTGCAGAATGGCCCCTCCCACTTTTGCTGACCTCGGAAAAGTCCGCCAAAGATTTTTTGTTCAAGGGATACAGTACGTTTCAAAAGTTTTTCCTGTCGTCAATTAATCATGCCATATTTGAATAATTACAGATCACGGCTTTGTTAAAGTCGACACTACTACTAAAGCTGGTGAAAATAAGGAAGTAGAGTTCAAAACATCTGCTGCTCACAATCTAGGCTCTGGCAAACTTGGAGGAAACCTTGATGTAAAGTATAAAATTCCTCTCGGTTAGTCTTCTGTGTTCTTTAGTTTGTAAGTCATCGTTGTGTATGTTTTTGGTGTTTTTTAAACTTCTTAATATGGGTGAAAGACCATTCTAGGCGGTTGGTGCGGTAGGACAGTGCAGAGGGACAGTTGGTTGAGGGGGGGCCAATCAGTAGAACTCGAGGCTCAAGCTTTGGGATGGAGAGTAGGAGTTCTGGAGAGTGGAGAGTGTGGCACACTGTCTCGTCGGTGTTTAATTCTAAATACACGGTTAGGCTTGTTGTCGCATCACTGGGTTGTTTGTGAGTGCTGTTCTGCTTCCCCCGTGAAGATGATGAGCGCCGTTTGTATCAATTGGACTATCAAAAGACAAGATAGTTTCATGCCGGGGGGTTAATGTTGGAGTGTAAGGGTCGTGCGTTCTGCAATCTTCGGTCGGAGGTTGTTTAAGTACAGAAAGCAATAAATTCTTGACAAGCAGTATGTCATGCATTGTAATCTTTTTCGCATGCAGGCGCTTGTGTCTGGGAGCGGAACGTCCTAGCTGTCGCGACTGTGCGAAAGTCCGGCAGATGACAAATATTTCATCGTATACATGCTTGTAGTGCTTTCTATGCACAAGCAGTATGGTCGGATGATTGTATGTGGTCTCTGTTCCATGCCAAAGCTGGATTATGTTGCTGGGTTGTGAACCCGTTGCGAACTTAGTGCCTCTACGTCGTCCCAGCTTTTATATTTAATGAATATACCCCCCAGCAACCGTTCACCCACACACTATGCTGTCGCTTTTTCGATTCCAGTAGGTTGGTTTATCTTTAAGGAACAGGACCTGCGATGGCGGGGACGAAGCTAGGGAGAAGAAGAGGACGGCATCGCCTATTAAGTGAGATGCGGAATGTCATATCAATACTAGGTGATGTTAGGCGTGTTGGGTGGATCAGTATTTTAGCCGTACCTCGCCATCTGGTATCCTCCTGTATACTCCGCTGCGCGTGCAGACATGTGGAATGACGCAAGTGATGCGTCAGAGGTGTTTAGTAGCCGTTAGGGGTGAGTATCACAGTTTACCTGTACGTACAACAGTGTAACTCTGCCTGCAAGAACCCGTATTTTGGTGATTGTTTAGTTCAGTTAGCTCCGTCATCTTCATGTGTACATTTTTGCGGACGGACAGACAGTAATTACATTATACAAACGACCACCAAGTTAGCGTCTGTTTTAATAAAAGGATAAGTATTAGGTTCCGTCTAGCCCAAGTGGACGGCGTTATTCTGTAAACCGTATGACTTTTCAAGGAGTTTGATTATCGCATAAATTTTTCAATTTGAGGCAGATACCACCCCCCTCTCCACTCAAAAATGGGATTTCGTGTTGTAAGCTGGATGCTTCCAGTGACTGCGACTATCTGTGCGTTTGGTGCAGAGGACTTGAACTTGCAAGCAATATGGAGGCGTCACGTGAATTCTAATATGAGCAGCAGGCACAAATAGTAATGGAGAGATTTCTCTTTTCTGCGTATGCGATGTATGTCACGGGATTCCCACGCGTTCTTTGGAGTATGAGAGATGGTAAGGTCAAATGATCAGCAGGACAAACTGACACTTATACAAAAGTATGAATAACGGATATAACGTTCGAGTGCTTCACGTAAGAGTGATCACGGGTGATTGTTCATGAGAATTTGCTGATCACCGCCTCTTGGGGTGGTATTATCAGCTGGCTTTCTGCAGATTCAGTTGGACACGGAATTTACACGTTTAAGGTCTGACACTCACGGAGAAGTGGAATACTGAAAACCAACTCGGCACAATAATCGAAGTAAATGAGCAGTTTGGACGAGGACTCAAGCTTACCTTTGATTCTCTGTATGCTCCTCACGCTGGAAAGAGGACCGGCAAACTGAAGGCGGATTGGTCCCTCAGCACTGCCAGGGTTTGCATTTTATCAATTCTTGCATATCTTCAATCCCAAAGAGTTGTTCGTTGTACTATTAAAGCAAACCATCTATAGATCACTGGTGAAGTTGGACTCACCGCAGCTCCAGTTATCAATGCTGCGTGCGTTTTCGGTCGAGATGGGTGGTTGTTCGGTGCTTCCGCCGCTTTCGATACTTCTTCAAACAAGGTGCTTTCCTTTCTCTATCTTGTGGTATTCTTCGTGTTGAAGTAGTGGTCTTAACTTAGGTAGCAACGACCTCACTTGCTTTTGGACATCAATCCTGTCACTATACTCTTCATTCGTTTGTTGTGAACTCAACCGATTTTGGAGCTTCACTATTCCACAAAGTCAACAGCAACGTTGAGCTCGGTACTATGCTCGGCTGGAAGGTAATACATTTCTAATTGAATTCTCGTGCAATTCGTCAACTTCTTCATTTGTGAAGGATTCTGATCTCAAAACATTCTTAGGTTGGGGGTAATGGTGCTGATTTTGCTGTTGCCGCAAAATATTGTCCTACAAGAGATCTGGTGCTTCGTGGAAAAGTGAACAACAGCAGCCAGGTTAGTAATTCTTACATGCATCTCATTTTGACTTATTAGTAATCTAAGCTATTTGCACTACGTTTATGAATGATGTTTAGGTGGCATTGGCTATCACACATTCGCTCTCGCCTGACCTTAAAATGACACTTTCGAGTCAATTCAACCTCTCCTCGAATGATGCTCATAAGTTCGGCATGGGTCTTGAATACGAGCCACTGTAATAATGTAATATCTTTGTGTGTGACCGAGCATTTTCAGCCCTAGATGTTCGTAGTCTAGTACAATGATAGATTTTGTTGGTCCCGTTGAGGTTGTTTCTGTAAACCCATTAAAGTTGCGTAATGAATATTTATGTACTGACTATAGGAACTGATTTTTCATGTGTGCTATGTGTAAAAAATGTTCGATTACTGCGTGTGGTACTCACTAACGTTATAGTTGACGCATGCTAAATAGTTGTTTGCGCATATAGTGATGATCATCGGTCTACTTCTTGGTAGTTTTCCTCACAGGCTCAGTTGCGAGAAGTGGACAGAGAGGGTGCTGCCGTGCTTTGTTATGTCCCCGATTGCTTTTCCTTATTCACGATATTCTAGGTTAGTATTTAAGAATGCTGTTTTCAGAGCCGCTTTGAAATCTTACGTTTTCAGTGCGGTTCTAAAAACTTTGAACTTCACGAATCCAATAACTTACTTCCTGCTACATACCGCTTTGCTTACCACTAGTGTGTTTCCATTCTTAGCACGAATGCTGAGAATGGTTTGTGTCTTTCTTAATGTGGCCAGCTAACCTGTGTGACCTCCTCAGTACGTACTTAATGTGTAAATCTAAAGGAGAGATTGAAGTGTGTATGGGAGGGTCAATAGTAAACCCTTCAGATCTGAGAGTCGTTCGTCTCCAATATTACGCTGTATGTATCGATCGTCCTTCGTAGAATGACACTAGTTAACTCGAGAATGTCGTCAGGATAGGTCTGCAACGGAGTAAAAGTTGCCATTTTTCTTGATGGAAGGCAATGATGTCTGAGGAACCCAACTTGAAAGTGCAGAGAGCGGAAGGAGAGGAAGTGCCTTCATCATAAAAGAAGTTGAGCGATAGACTTTTAGGAAGACAAGACAAAAACAAGGACAAACTTAGGGGTACAGAAATGTGGTTCACTAGGACAGAAAGCGACTTTTTCGCGTTTCGCAGCGCGAAACATTTTTCGCTGCGGGAACCTCAGGTCCACCGCTGATCATCAGTGGACCCGAGGTTCCCGCAGCGAAAAATGTTTCGCGCTGCGAAACGCGAAAAAGTCGCTTTCTGTCCTAGTGAACCACACCCGGAGTAGTACACTACCTCTAGAACAATGTTAATTTTGAACTTCTGACATCAGTACCTATCCACCAGAGAGATGTCAGGATCTCCAGCAATTACAATTTGTGCTTCCGTGGCTGAAGACACCGAGGTTAAATTGTTCCTGACCGCAGACTTCGCTTATGCTTAGTTTATTCATTTACATTTACATTTATTTCCGTTATTCATCTGACATAAACAGAGAAACGGGCCATGATCTGGAACCATTCAGAAGTCGTCACCGTGTTCTGCCAGTCTGCTCCCGCGAACATCTTGAAATCGTCTTCCCACCGCACTCGTGGTCGTCCAACTGATCTGCTTCCACAGGGCTTCCAATTCATCAGCCGCACTTCCCATCGCGTCCTGTCTCTTGTCATTAACTTATTTGCGTAAATCCACTTGCGCTTTCTGGCTTCGATGACAGCGTCTTTCAGTTTGGTCCTTGCTCGTATTGCTACGCTCGATACCTTATCGCGAAGTCGGAGGTCTAACATTTGGCGCTCCATCCGTCGTTGGCATTTTCTTATACGATCCTCTGCTGCTTTTGTTAGGGCCCACGTTTCACATCCATACAGTAGAGTTGGTATCACACATGTGTGGAAGAAGCGTCGTTTGGTCATCAGTGGCGTCATTCTGCTTTTCAATAGGGCTCGAACTCTTCTGTTGATGCTCCACGCAGCGCTGATTCTCCGGCTGATTTCTTGTCCACGATCCTGAGGGAAACATATGAGTTGGCCCAAATACACGAAGGAAGATACCAGCTCAATTTGCTGGACATCCATTTTGTTTTGCTTGTATTCACTTCAAGTCCGGCCACTTTGGTCGCACCAATGAGTTTATTGAGCATGCTTTGTAGTCCATCGACCGTTGGCGAACACAGGAAAATATCATCAGCGTAGGCGAGATAGCTGAGGTGATACTGCTCAATGGGGTAACCCTGGCCATCCCAGTCAATGTCATCAAGACACGATTGCAGAGTCAAAATGAACAACAGAGGAGATAACGAATCGCCTTGTCTGACACCTCGTTGAATGTCGATCTCCATCTCTATCGAGTCCAGGGCCAAAAACGATCGTCCAGCAGCGTACAGCTGTTTTATCATTCGAACTGTGCAGTCATCTACTTTGAACTTATCCAAAGCTTTCCAAATAGCTTCGTACTCGATTGTATCGAAAGCTTTTCGGTAGTCAATGAAGACCATGTGAAGCGGTTTCCTCCATTCACGACATTTCTCAATTAGTAAGTTGACGGACATGATGTGGTCACGGGTGGAGAAGCTACGTCTGAATCCAGCTTGTTCTTGTGGAACGAACTCCATAACCACTTCTTCCACACGACGAGCCAGCGCACGGGTAAGAACTTTAAGGACAGTTGACAATAGGGAGATTGGTCTGTAGTTGCTGATGTTCAATGGGTCACCTTTTTTGTATAGGAGGATGGTTTTGGCTTTGACGAAATTTTCAGGGAACTGGTTGAGCTCGAAATGTTGATTTATTTAGCAAGGTCTTCCGCACATACAGGTACTAGATACTTCGTTACTCCAGATGGTATTCCGTCGGCACCAGGTGCAGTGTTTCCACGAATTCTGCTACATGCTTCACGGAGTTCGTCTGCTGTTACCGGGCGTCTCAATGGGCCTGTCGCAGAGAAGACGTATGGACCATTATGGGATCGGTAGAGGTTGTTGTAGAATGCAGCTGGGCTCCCAGACAATACCTAACCATTTGGGCGCGGCCGCGGCGAACGCGGCCGAGTTGATAGGTGCCCGCGAACTCAGCACAGCACAGTTCACCTCGAGTGCGTTTTCAACGGTTCGCGGGCACAATCGACTCGGCCGCGTTCGCCGCGGCCGCGCCCAAATGGTTAGGTATTGTCTGGGAGCCATGCAGCTGGAATGGCTGCAGCTTCTTGTAAAGTTGTCGTCAGGGCACCATCAGGACACCGGAGTTGGTTTATTTGTCGACGTTCATACGCTAATTCGTGTCGAGCACGCCTTATCTTCAATTTGTCTATTGCATTTTGCATGACACGGTCGTTGTACTTGCGAAGATCGTCGGTAAGTGACCATCTAACTTGTTTGCACAACAATGAGTAGATAACAAAACTTATTGATCCATTTGCGAATCCAAACTTTTGCTTTCTTCTTTCTGCCATTAGCGCCATTGTTCTAGCAGAGATTCGTTCCACTCGTTGCTGTGGTATTTGTGCTAAAGCCATACAATTATTTGCTGCCTCCACGAAGCTGGGGATGTCGAAGCCGCCCGCCGGACGAGGCTGTGCTGCCATTGCAGCCTGCAGCTTAAGCTTGTCAAAAAGTGGAGGTAATGGTCTTGACTTCTGCTTAAAATAGGCAGGCTTCATACACATCGCCAGAGTAATTCGCACCATGCGGTGGTCACTCCCAATATTGCATCCAGAAAGTGTTGAAACGTCACGAACATACTTCAGATTCTTGCACAGAACATGGTCTATTTTTTTTCGGACTTCTCCACGTCCACTTTCGTCCGAATCTTTTCTTGAAAAACGTGTTGGCCACAATTAGATTATGTGCAGCACAGAATGAAAGTAAAGCGACACCTCGTTCATTTCGGTCACCTGTTCCAAAAGGCCCACACGTAGACTCTTTGTTTCTTGAACGTCCAATAATTGCATTGAAATCTCCGCAAATGAGCTCTGCTGTACTTCTCGTCGCTAGCCTTGCAGCTTCTACTTCATCCAAGAATTGTTCGAATTCATCGTCTGGTGCCGCAGAAGTAGGGGCGTTTATTAGTTGAAATACGATCATTGTTGTACCCATAACTGCTGTTTCAGAAGCAGCTGAGAAACATGGGTTACAAGGCTTCTGTCAACCAAAGGGTGAGAGCGTAGCTGGAAAAGCACACACTTTGTGTCTTATTGGGACTAAGCCTTTTGAAGGAGATAAAGAAAGAGGAGATGCTGTGATAGTGTGCACTTGTGAGAGCTCCCAGACATCACTACAAAACGCTGAACCGCCAAGCCTCACGGTTGACAGATGTCCTGAGACCGAGAAACATGCTTATGGAGCGTTCATAGTTGGCGATCGTACATGCGATTAGGCGATGATTCAAAATGAAAAGTATACGAATCGATTAGGCGATTAGGCGAGTAGGCGAGTAGGCGATAAGAGAAGGGTACGTATTGATTTGTTGCTCCGCCCATTGGGCGATCGCCTAATCGCCTACAACGCTCTAAGGGCGGAGCAAATCAATCAATACGTATGTAGTCTTCACCGCCTAATCGCCTAATCGCCTACTCGCCTAATCGCCTAATCGCACGTACGATCGCCAACTATGAACGCTCCATTACTAATCTAGAAGATCGTTTAGCAGTAGGGCACTAGACCGTTCAAAAAGAATGTTGACAAGAAAGAAAATATAAGAGGCTCTCGAAATAATGGGGTTATCACTCGAAATCAATAGAAAGTATGGTAAACTGCGTGACATTCTGCATTTTATTTGCGAATCATCGGTTGATCACAGGAAGTGATAGAGATATTGGGTGATACAGCAGTCCGAGGGTATTTAAGGGCGCGAGTAGGGTGAGCTAGCCATTTATTTCCAGAGCAAGCGGGTGCGGTGAGTCTCATAATGGAGTAGAGGCAGAGCAGGGTAAGTAGCTGAAGTTATTCAAGTATGTGCTAAATTCAGGTGAAGGTATTCTGGGAAGGTGCTAAGTAGCATAAGTGCGCTAACTACAATTCTTTTGGCATTTACCGGATTTATTGCATTAAAGGTTCGGAAAAAAACAGTGCTCC